ATCTGCATCCGTCAACAGATATGGTCGCCTCTGTGTTTTTTTGTTGCAACAGAAATATTTACTAATGTGTTACCGCAAATATAGGAATGAGGATATTTAGTCGTAAACGTCCATCGTCAATATTCTTTGACGTTACTAAACCTCGCTTTGGTCAGCAGAACAATTAATTTCTTACATCCCTAAAAGCATGCGTTTACTTATACAATACCACAAAGTATCACTTGCTTATTTCATGAAACTTTTTACCGCATTGACAGAATTTTTGTGTTATCTGCATCTCTCCACACTAATTCGTTTTTGAAATCAAAAGTTATTACAGAATCAAAAGTGTGTTAAATAATTAACTGCGCATGCTTACACATAAAGCGCCCACAGTTTTCGTGACATCTTGCGTCATTAAATATATCTTCCAAGGTGAGTAAATCATAATTTCAGATACAAAGTTATCCCACCACGCGCTTGTTCTTCCTGGACAAACCCAAATTCCTCCTAGCCTTCTTTCATATGTCTTATTTATTCGATAGTGGTTGTGTGAGCCACTGGAAAAACCAATGTTCGAAGAGTCAAAATTCTCCTTTTATAAGTTATCAATAAAAGCTAGGAAATCAAAATATCAACTTCCAAAATAGGGATTAAACAAATATACAACCTCAAAAGCACGTCACTCGGGCTCACCAAATTTGTATCGAATTTTAAAAATGCCAGAAAAAGTAGTCATTGACGTCATCGTTCTCAAAAGGCTCCTTTTTTTGACTGTACACATTTTTGAGAGCGTTTTCAAATCTATACGTTTTCATTTGGCAGCGTGTTTTTTTTGAGCGTTTTAGTGTGGACGGACGGCCAAATAGCATCAAAAAGTATGAATTTTTAACAGAAAACGCATAAGTGAGGACAGGGTTTTACACAGCGGGGATGCATTTGCAAATGTGTGTGTGAAATGTATAAGTCATTCAAGTCTTTGATTTGCTTTTTACTCACACTTTATTGGACGTGTGAATATTCACATAACGTCATCACTAAAGTGCGTTAGTTATTTTGATTAGTTTGATATTATGTGACTAAATGTATAGATCTACATAACTTGTATTATGTTAGATCGCCTGTGATCTTGGTTTTGAAAAAAATTGCACCATTTTTGAAATGGATGTTAAAGTTAAGGGGGGCCAAATTCCCGAAGTGGGACCCTATTTACTAAAATGTATTGCCCCTGTGGCGACAAATTTCTTAGGAAATATTCATTATTCATTGCCATGTACATTGCTGATACTGGAACATTCAAAACTTTATCAAAAAGATAAACACTTTTTGGAGTGTGAGGGTCATACTTTGTCTAACTGTAAAAATCCTTACAATTAATCATAAGCTTTGCACTAACGTTAACAGCCTGGCGGGCTGGGAGAGCTGAAGCCCACTTTTTGCAAAATATATATTAAGGCTGAGCTGAAGTCGTTGTTTAGAGGTGTTTTTTAAGACGCCATAGTAGAATTAAAGACTTAGCCTCGCACTTCATAATGTTGCTTCGCCGTCACTGCAAACACTCACTCCTTGTTTATCTCCATATCAATATTAGTATATGTTTAAAATATATTTGCGTTTTAACCAATTCATACCGTCAAAGGGGATGCTGGAGATAAATTCTTAAAATGGTTATCTTGTTCATGACAATCTTTGATGCACTAATGAACAAACATATCGCGACAAATCAAACGCAGAAAATTTACACTTCGACTGTATAAACGGAATAACTGACTGACTAGGTTGCATTTTTTACACTCAGAGATTTTAGAGATTGATTAGCTACATCATTGACGAAAAAGAAACATTTTAATCGTTAACTTACTAGCAATTTGTTCTTCCAGACCTGGAGTGGATTTCCTTTTGATATACCTTATGATTCTGTGCACCAGAAGAGGAAGCTCCGGAAAAACTTGCTGGAAATACTCCTTATAATTGCCTTGCTTCACACAATGTGATAGATGCTGACGAGGTTTACTTTGCCAATGTTGGTCAACATTTCGTATAAATCTTAAGCATCCTGCCCATGTAGACTCGTACTTTAGAGTTCTTAAACTGTCGTTTACTTCAAAGTTGATCAAATCTTTGACGACTTCATCATCGATACGCTTTATCCATTCTGTGGAACCATACAACTGCGTATGATCGTCTGAAGTGGGAGATATTTGACCTTGTGAATGTTTCACCTCCAGTTGGTTCCCCATATCACACAGCATGTTAAATTTCTCTTCTTCTGATTGTAGATAAGGGTGTTTTAACGCTTCGTTGGCAGATGGCCTGTCTTCAGGTATTAACTGTAGCATCCACAATAAAAGGTCTTTGAACGTGGCATCCTTGATTTCGTCCAATCCAACTGGGTCTCCTTTCAAAATGTTGTCCAGTCTATGCCGTTCTTGTCCAAAAGGATGTTTTCCCTTTGTTGCAACATAATAAGCCACCATTCCTGCATTCTATTTTCAATAAAAAATTGTCATAAGCAGTCAGTGGTGGATACTAAAACCTTAGAGATTAAATTTATTTGCGATTTGCAGAACTCAACAACAAATGTGCAGCTTAAAAAATCTAAAAAATGTTCTCCAAATAGAATTGTAGTTATATATATGAATTGAAAGCAATCTAAATAAGGAACATACATTTGTAACTGTAACACGATTAACAAAAATTAATTTATTTCTATTTAAATTTATAGGTTGACACTATATGACGATACAAACGAGGTAAAGAAAAAAATTGAGGTAAAATCATTATCACTACCAAATACCAATATTTAATTAAATGCAAATAAAACATTGAGCTGCAGTTGGACCTCTAGTTCTACTTCAAGAACTTACCATAATGTCAGACTCTTTTTTGTAACGAACTTTATTAATTGTATCATCTGATGCGTTATACGACTATGGAGCTATCCAATTTTTAGCTCCTCTTTGTATGCTTTGATGTGTCGAAGTTTCATCAGATAACATAAGACTTATACCAAAGTCAGCGATTAAAAAATTTCCTTGTACATCACGGAGAACATTTGTTGGTCTTAAATCCCGATGAAGAATAGGACACGGACCACTGTGAAGATCAGCTAAACCTTTTAAAATCTGCATAAGAATTGTAGGAACGACTTTTTGAAGATCTTGCAAAGAAGAAGATTTCACATAACTCTCTAACGGTTCTTCACACAAATCAAATATCATGTACAAATACTCTTCGTGAAGGTTGTCTTTTAAATCCCAAAAATTCACAACATAGTTTGAACGCTTTGCATTCAACTCATTCAAAATTTCTTTTTCTCGATTTGCAAATTCTTTGCCGCAATCTTTGGGAATACGCTTTACTGCTTTTCCATAACCATTATTTCCCAGGGCAAGGTAAACACGGGTTCCATCACTTCCCTTGCCAAGCAAGAACTCCTTCATGAAAATTACACGCAGTCCACTGATTAGTGTAACTTTTTCTGGATGTTTGCGTCCATACTCCTCCATCTTTTTAAACTTTTTTTGATGTATTATTGATTTATCAAAACATTTCCATGGTTGACGCAACAATTCTTGAACTTAAAGGAGAAGTACAAATCAGGAAAGATAAAAAAGGACTGATAAATTCAGTTTTATTTGTTTTGGCAATATCACATAACATATAACATTGCTGTGTTTTTTCTGGATGAGAAAACACGGATGTTTTTTCTTTGATATGGAAATAACATTTACTCCGGTAGAAATGAGTTGGTCATCATACAATTCACGAGCAATAATCGACGTTCCACGATTAGTTCATTGCATGACTATACCAACCTTTAACTCAATAAAGCCAGTGTCAGATCTAGGGTACGTCAAAAAAAAAAAGAAGCTGCAGCTCATGCTTGGATATATTTCCATTTCCAAGTACATAGAGGCAAGTCCATTGATAAAGTTTAATTTTTTTGAAATTCAAATTCAATAGTTTTGGTTTGAATATATTTTGAATTTAAAATTGAGCATCTATAATTCATTTTGACAAACGCTAGATCTGCTATACTAGATTGAGCAATTCTGCAATGGATAAAATACACTTCGTTTTCACATTAACATACAATATGAAATTTAGTATCTGAATGTTAAAAAGTTATGACCAAAAATCCTCTTAAAATAAATTGCATTTTTTGAACCGGAGAAACAGAAGCGTTAAAAAAGCTCCGGACAACAATGCAAAGAATTTATAAGGAAAGAGAGTATTTTTACGATTCCCGAGAAAAAATTGCTTTTGCAAACAAGTAAAAAACCCTTTTATGTTCCGTCGTTACCAAGGGAAAATGCATATAATTTAGCAATATCGTTAAAACTGAAGAATTATTTCTATGGCTGTAACTTACTAGGAACACATTTTTCCATGTCAGGTCTTAAGATCCATTCATTTAACCTCATGATTCTGTGCACCAGAAGAGGAAGCTCTGGTAAAACCCGTACAAAATACTCTTTATAGTTGCCTTCCTTGATATATGGTGACAGTTTTGTACGATGCTCATCATGCCAATGCTGATCAACGTCTTGTATGAATCTTAAGCATCCTAACCATGTAGAGTCGTAGAGTTTCTTGTTGAAATGATCATCGAATTCATGAATGAGACGGTTCATCCAATTGTTGAGACCATTTAACTGCTCATGGACATCTGAGCTGAGAGGATGATCTAAATGCGGTATCTTTATCTCCGGTTGATTCCCAACTTTACACAGCAAGTCAAATTTTTCTTCATCAGATAGTAAATAAGGGTGTTTTAACGCTTCCTTTGCAGATGGCCTGAGTTCGGGTTTATGTTGTAGCATCCATGAAAGAAGATCATTTAGTTCGACATTACTGATTTTCTTCAAGCCAACAGGTTTTCCTTCCAACAAATTTTGAAGTATGCACATTTTAGTACCAAAAGGATGTTTTCCTTTTGTTGCAACAAAGTAAGCCACCATTCCTGCATTCTCAAATAAATTAAACATAACAGAGTACGTAAAATGTAAAAACTAAATTTACGCACAATTTGCAAATAGTAACAACCCAATACCTACCATTACATCAGACTTTGTTTTGTAACGCGCTTTATCAAATAATTTTTTATCCTCAACATAAGATTCAGAGGCAATCCAATACTGAGTTCCCCTATTAGCATCACCTACATATGTCTGAGAGTCATTCTTCACAATTCGACTAATACCAAAATCGGCTATCAAAAATTTGCCTTGTCTGTCTCGGAGTACATCGGAAAGTTTCAAATCTCGATGAAGAATGGGACGTGGATCGCTGTGAAGATCAACTAAGCCTTTCAATATTTGCTTCAAAATGTCGGGAAGTAATTTTTGAAGATAATCTAAACTATTTGATTCGGATAGAACAAAATCTTCCAAAGATTCTTCACATAGATCGAGAATTAAATGGACATATTCTGTTATTGTATCTTCTCTCGAGCAGTAATAATTTAGCATATAATCCGACTTCTTAGCATTGATTTCATTAAAAATTTTTTCCTCTTGCTGTGCCAAATAAGTATTATCACGAAGAATTCGTTTCACTGCTTTACCGTAACCATCCTTTCCCAGTCCAAGATAAACACGGGTTCCATCACTTCCTTTACCAAGTAAAAACTCTTTTGAGAAAATTACACGTACATCGTCCACATGTTTAGCCTCAACATTAGGGTCTTTCCCATACTCAATTAATTTTAAAAACAATTCCTTATGTTTTGTCGATTTATCATTGTATTTCCATTCATGCAGCTTCAATTCTGAAATAGAAGTAAAAGTAGTCCATTTATAGAGAGAGTAATATATTGTAGCTGAATAGTCAAATAATAAATAAATAGCAGTGGTAGAGTTTCTCTATTGCACCAACGATTCAGATAGCAGATACAATCTGTGAAAGAAAACTTACAAAAACAACAAATAAACATATTACGACCATTTATTTAAGCAATGAGTTCTGATAAGAATGGCTCTAAAAAGCTCTTATACGGGAAATCTCACCCAGGTCTTTTACTCATATCATGAGGGTATTGTTTTGCAAAATAGGAAACGAAAACTAAGACTAGTTTTTGTAGCTAAACGAAAAAGTATTAGCTACTTTGCATAAACGTTAAAAAAACATTGGGTACTCCACATTGAGTTCATGCTAAACATTGAACACGGCGAACAAGTATTACGTGAATTTCAAAGTAGATATTTTCAATCTTCAACCTTAAATTTATAGTATTTGTTAATTAGCAAATTTGTCTCTTAATTAAGTTGAATTCATGTGCACTTTGTACCTTGGTTCTTTTTTCTTTCACGAAATTCTTGTAATCTCGTTGTCATTGAATACTTTAATAAATCACGTCCTTCTTTATCGTATATTTGTACCAGATATTCCATAGCGTTCTCTTGTTTTTCTATATCTTCATCTTCCTTGACAATCTCCAGATACATTTCATAAATTTCTGCTGTTTCCCTATATTGCTCAAGTTTATCAAACATTTCTGCTAATTCCCATAAAATAGCCAACATTCCACTGACAATTCCAGCTGAAGTAACAATTGACAAGTTCTTCAAGTTCTTCAAGAAATCTTTACCAACGTTAATACCACCAACTTTTCTTGGTCGTCGCGGTCGATCACGTCGTTTGTTTTGTTCTTGTTGATTTCCTTGTTGATTTTCTTTCCGTTGTTGAGGTTGCATTTCTACTTCTTGGTGTTCACAATCAATAAAAGAGAATCCTTTTCTATAATGCTACAGGGATTTGTCATAATTTTCAAGTAATTTATTCAAACCTCCCAATGCAACATGACAGAGACAATCCATTTCATCTTTCTTTATACCATCCTCCAATCTCTTACTGGTACAATGGATACTCCCCAACCCGAGGTATATTTGATGTTGAAAATATTTAATTTCCAGTTCAGAAGAAAGACTCAAGCAATCATTAAAGCAGTTTATTGCTTCCTCCCCTTTATCAGAGAGTGTGTAAGCATTACCAAGACCAAATAATGCCATCATTTTGATGCTGTTCTCGTCTGTAACTTTTACACAATTATTGTAATGTTCAATAGCCGTTTCATAATCGCCATTATTCATAGAACAATTCCCTTCTTCCAAGATCCTCATAACTGCTGGAACTGTGAAAGCTAGATCTCTTCTAGTAATCACGCAAAAATTTATCCAAGTTCTCCAATGTTCTTCATGTGAACAGCAAACTTTTCTTTATTGTACTCATTTTTTTGCGACAAACATCAAAGTTAAGCTGTTTAACTATATAAGGCAAAATAATGAGCTTTGTTTAGTCCACTCTTTAGTTTCAAAATTACAATAGAGGAAATTCATCTATGGAAGTTTAGAGCAAGCAAATGAGAGATCTGAGTAACATGTATGTATAGTGTGTGTAGGGTGTTATATACCAATAGGTTAAAGATAGGGCAATTTTGCAAATTGAAGGTAAATCAACTCTCGATAATGACTGTTTTAGCATTTCCCCCCGATAAGTTTCGTAACTTAATTAATTCATTCAAGTGCCCATTTCAGCAACATTGAATTTAGGAGTGATTTCCACAGTATTAGTAAAAGTTTTTAAGTTTCTCGAATCACTCCATTTTTAAGGCTATTTAAAGTAAGCAAAATGCTCCTTTTTATGGAGCTTGTCAGTCGCAGTAAAAGTCTGGAACGACTTACTTTTGTAACGTCATGCAAAGTATTCATCAAGATATATATATACCAACCACGTGTTTGTCGGTAATTGCACGTTGCCAAACCCCCACTCCCACAGTCACGAAAGTCACGCATCAAGACAATACTTAATTCTTCTAATTCTGTAAACTTCTTATAGCTACAATACATTATTTATCATATGAAGACAATGCAAGATGCGACAACTTGAAATTGAATATAATATTTTGCATTAAAAACTTTCCGTCTGATTTCTTTTAAGTATCTTTTTTCCTAGTATTTTTATACACAGGTGTTGAAACACGCGAAGAAGAAAACAATACAACAAAGTCTGGAAAATTTACAATCAATGTGACGATCTTTGAGTTAATGGTATCACAAATATTGATTTCTTCACCATTTCTGTTCTCAATAAAGTAAATGGTTTGAGCCCGGGAGTATAGTTACATGTCCTCATATCCTCATTCTGATGAAGGCTCGAAGCAACGAGTCGAAAGCTCAATAAAAATCACTTAAAATCCGGAGAAACTTTTATCTTTTATGTATTAAATGCCTGGATTACAAATTTTCAAACTTAGTTACATGTTTGTAAATGTAGATCGTCCAGGTTGGTATCGTCCTGAAAAGGACTGTTTTTGTTGTTTTTGAGTCAACAACAACAAAAACAGTCATTCTCAAGATTATACCAACCTGGACGATCTACATTTACAAACATTTTTGTTCTCGTCAGATCAGAACCATTAAACTATGTCGAATACCTGTCTCGCATATAGTTGCACATAGTCGTAGATTAATATACTGTATATAAATTGGGACATTTGCTCTAACTCGTGTCAAATACATATTTTAGCAAAATTGCGCATGCATAAACAAAGATGCGTCAATACCGAAACGTGCTTTGAAAAAACCTCAGCGTTTTATTGATGAATTTGTAGTAAATGATGATTTTTCTAGGAAAGAAAAACAAACAAAATAAAGGCGCCAATTTTTTTAATATAGAAGTATATGAGGTTGATCAGGATCAAAAAATTTTAAAATGCTCGTAGTACAAAGCCCTCGGTGCAGTCCAATCTTAATTCGTGTGTAGTTTCCAAATAGAGAGGTACCCACACGTCACAATGCATTGTAAATTGCAACTTACATGACAAACTTATTATAAACCCCAAAGTTCAGGTCTGCAGCGCGATGAATCTGTGTCAAAAGAGAATCACAAGACGCACTAAGAATCAAATTGTTATAAGCCGTTGGCCTTAGTTAGATAGTATACGGGAAATGCGCATGATTGAATCTTTGAAAGCTTCAAAACATATACATTTGATAAAAGTTGCATTTAATCTATTCGAGATTGCAGTACTGCAGTATAGATAATTGGTTAATGATAAACTATCTCAAAAGGTTGATTCTTCTAATTCTCATCAATAAGGTGCTTCACCTTTATGAAATAAACTTATCAGCCCATAACTCTAAGTATTGAAGTCATTTCCAAGCATATTCTTTTTCATAAGAAAATTTGCTTGCGTGTACTCTTCCTGCCACGTATATCATACCACTTTTGTCATGAATACACGTTAACAAAGTAAAAACCTATGTTATTTCTTTGTATTTTAAAAATCGAAAATTGGCATCTTGATTAAAGAATGAAAACTGTACAAAAAATACACCAATGATTATGAAATGGTTTTAGTTTGAATTGTTATTGCCTAAATAATTTTTAATTTGATTCCGGTGAGTTGCAAAGAATTGTCCTGTTCAAAATATAATCTGAAGATTTGTTCTCGGAAAATAGACATATAAATAAAGCTTTATGTGATCAAATTTAACTTCTGACACAATGAATTTTCTAATGAATGAAAAAATCCGCAAAATTCAACCTTACGTTTTAAAGCGTTTCGGTTTTTAATATTGACTATTGATGAGAGTACAATACAACTAAGTCAGCAAAACTTACAAAAAATTCTCCGGTCTTCAGGTAATCCAACTCTATTGACTTCTTCACTGTTTTTACTACCGTCTGACTAAAAGCATCAAAACAACAAGAATGACTTGTTTTGCAAGTCCTCACACCTACATAAATTTTCTCAATTTGAAAAGATTGGAGGAGTTTTGAAAGGGCTTAGTTTTAATTTTACACACGAATGCTTTCCAAAATGCCTTTGGTGTGAGACATAAACAAGTACATTAGAGGAAACACAAAAAACAGTCGGTTATTCATCACATGCATCACCATAAATTTGGTCCAAACAGCGTAACAGAAAAGATAAATATTTCATTTTCTAAACCATTAAGAGAAAGTAAATTCAACTGGAATTTACTTTCTCTTAATCGCATTTTTCGCCGTATTTCAGCATATGATCCATTATACGAAAACTGTTGCCAATACGAGTCCATGGTGAGCTCTTATAGAAGATAATTGATCATTCATTTTCTCTATGCTTTCTTACTCGCTCTTGCAACTGTTTTGCAATAAAAAAGATTATTTTGACCAAGTAGAAATTTCAAAATAACAGTGGGAAGTACTAGTCCGTATTCTGTGCATTAAAAAGTGTCTTGGAAAACGATTTTTGTTGCCCCCACTCGTGAACCCCGCTTTTTTCAATTTTATTGCGTGAATACTTGGCTATCAGTGGCGTAGCTAAAGGTCGTGCTGGTTGTACTCAACACGACCAAACATTTTTCTAACTAAGGTTTTTCAATGCACTGAAATTTCAATATTCGTTTACAATTTTAACGAATGTAAGCGAAAACAAAATCTATTTCTATGCGTCCATTGCATACAATTTACCAAAGATGTCGAAGAAAACGGAACTCTTCCTTTTCTCGACTGTTTGGTAAAACATGACAATCAAAAACTAGGAACAACAGTTTATCGCAAGCCAACACATACTGACCGACTACTAGACCAATCATCTTACAACCCTACATCTCACAAAGCCACCACAATCAGAACATTAACAAGACGTGCACAAATCATATGTGATTCACCGGACGCTCTACAAAACGAAAACAACTATCTCAAACGTGTTTTGACAAAACAACTATAACTGACTTTATCAAACGCAACACTTACAAACCCAACGAACCCAACGAAACAAACAACTCACTGACAACAGCAACGATACCTTACATCAAAGGTACGTCTGAGACTATCTCGCGTATCTTACGACCATACAACATACGTGTCGCACATAAACCAATCACAACATTACGACAAGTACTAACGAACATAAAGGACAAAGAACAACCCAACGAACGACAAGGTGCAGTTTACAAAATAAACTGCTCCGACTGCCACGCCTCCTATATCGGGGAAACTGGCAGGAACTTAAACATAAGACTTACTGAGCACAAACGAGCTACTAAGAAACAAGACAAAACTAATCACATTGCCGAACATCACCGAATCACAAAGCACAACATTGACTGGGACTCGGCAAAATGCATCACTTACAGTACTGACTATAGACAACGGCTTACATTAGAAAGTTGGTATACCAACTTGGAACAAACCCCTGAACAGATCACAGCAATTACCGGCACCTTACAAACGACTTATTCACAATACAAACAAACGATCAACTAAAACATTACACTTCAAACTAATTCACAATGACAATACACAATTGACACCCACACACTACAACTAAAAAC